TATTCTGTAATGTTAGTGAAGCTTTGAACCTACTTTATTATGTAATGTTAGTGAAGCTTTGAACCTACTTTATTCTGTAATGTTAGTGAAGCTTTGAACCTACTTTATTCTTTAATGTTAGTGAAGCTTAAAACCTACTTTATTCTTTAATGTTAGTGAAGCTTAGAACCTACTTTATTCTGTAAAGTTAGTGAAGCTTTTAACCTATTTTATTCTGTAATGTTAGTGAAGCTTTGAACCTGTTTTATTCTGTAATGTTTGTGAAGCTTTGAACCTACTTTATTCTGTAATGTTAGTGAAGCTTTGAACCAACTTTATTCTGTAATGTTAGTACTTTACTCTATGAGGTTCGTCATTATCTAAATGTGATTGTGTACTCAGGTACTGCCGGCCTGGAGAAGGACACAGACGATCCCGACGGTGTCTACCGCACTCTGGACGAACTCAAGTCCATGAAGCCAGGCCCGGGGGTGCAGTGGAGGGACGAGATGCCCGCGATGAGCAAAGGCAATGCCGCTGACCTTAGAAGGAAAAAACGAAGCGGAAAATTGATGGCAAATCAAGCAGTAAAACTCCAGAAGCGAGCACACGATGGTCATGGGAAACCCCCAAACAAATTGTTGCCCGTGAACGATGTACGTAAAACGAATAAAAACAAGGCGGCTGTAGAATCTATGAGTTTACCTGTCAATAAAAACACAGTCTCTGTTGACTTTGAGAAATCGTCAAACTTCAACATCAATGACAGTCTAAAGCACCGCGCAATAATGAGAGCTTTGTACAAAAGAAGAAGGTTGTTTCATCGATTAGAGCATGGTGCTAAGAAGTCGAACGAAGAAGACAAGGCGACATCTTCGTATACAAGTGCCAGGATTCAAGTAGGACCTGAAAGCGTGAACAAATATGTGCTAAACGATCAGCGCTCCTACAGAACTGTGAGGGGGCAAAGAAAAAGCCTCAACAGAAGCGTGCGAGAAGCCGAATCTAATGACCGGATGTACGATAGCACGGATGTGCCGCCCTCTAGCGACTCTGACCAGTGGTGGGGTAAAAAGTTGGATTATATCGACAATAGAAAATCTTTCAAAAACAAACAAGGAAATAACACTAGCGCTGATAATTTGGATAGCAGCTCTGAGCAAAGACACACTGCCGTTTCACTGAGAGGTGTCATTTCTGAAGAGAGGTCGCAGCAGCAAAGCTCGAAACAATCTCAACAGAATGAAAACACTGGAGAATTTGGGCTGGACAAGAAACACACCGGTTCTTCAGGCACCGAAGGCAAAGGTGACGACTGGTTAAAAAATGAACTCATGCTTATTGAAATAGAGAGCAGGGCTCTGAAACGCAAGGCAGCCCAGCTTCATAACAAACTGAGGAGAGCAAATGTCAACTTGAGACAAGGTGGCTCAGATAACGGGCCAATGTATCCTGGAGACGGTCCAAGGCAAGACGTCATAGAAACTTACTCGCGGCTAAATAAGCGCATAGAAAACGATGGGATGCCGCGGATGGGACGCTTCCAGAACATTCAAGCGACAGAACACAGGATTGAGAGAAAACACCGGCTGCCTGGCTATGGCGGGAGACTACGAGAAGATATAGCCGATGCCGTCATCAAATTGGACAATGATCTGTCGGATCTTAAAGCTAAAATAATTAGCAGAAGTGAGAGAGAACATGCTCGTCCGCGTGGTTACTTCATGAGACCAGGCAGATACCGCGACTTCTACCCTGATGCGGGTGATCATAGCGACTACTACAACGATCGTGTTCGTTATCGGAGACATGCCGCTCGCAATCATCTCAAGCAGAACCATCAGCTTCACAGACTCTTAAGCACCAATCTTCAGATGAAACACAATCATTGGCAAACACACAACTGTACACACGGAGGTCCTTGCAGCAAGCAAACACACAACTGTACACACGGAGGTCCTTGCAGCAAGCAAACACACAACTGTACACACGGAGGTCCTTGCAGCAAGCAAACACACAACTGTACACACGGAGGTCCTTGCAGCAAGCAAACACACAACTGTACACACGGAGGTCCTTGCAGCAAGCAAACACACAACTGTACACACGGAGGTCCTTGCAGCAAGCAAACACACAACTGTACACACGGAGGTCCTTGCAGCAAGCAAACACACAACTGTACACACGGAGGTCCTTGCAGCAAGCAAACACACAACTGTACACACGGAGGTCCTTGCAGCAAGCAGACACACACAGACGATGTAGCATATGCCGTTGTCAGAGAGCAGAAACAAAAGATTATCACCAAGGATATCTACAGGGACATCTTCAATGGAATGTGTAATGGGCACACTGATCTTGTATCAGACACCCCACTGTTAGCACTGCTTCATGTATCAACGTGTTGTCTTAGCAGGAACACTTCATCACCAAACTACGCCCGCCCCTCAAAACCAGGCAAGGGAAGTCATCCATTCACAATAAAATACAGCATCGCCCGGGTAATGACTTCCCTTGCTAAATTATTCCGTGACGTGTCAGCTCTCCCAGAAAAAGACTTACACAAATATTCACTACCATCTGCTCGTGGAGTGTCATGGTACGTCGGCACCCTCCAGAACTTTCATACAGTCATCAATAGGTCAAACACGAATTTCACAAAAACGCAGGTGAAATTATTTCTGCTGATCACACAGGCTGCGGCACCGTCAGTCAAGAATGTACTGATTGCCTTCACCACTCATCGGGGAAGTTTTACATTGCTGCACACCTCGATCAAGTGTAGACAACTGATGGCCGCAAGCATGAGAAAACACAAAGAGTCTCAAGCTGACAATAACATTGCAGCGAAAGACACTACAACTAAAGGAAGCAAACCTGTTTACAGACACAAGATGTCGCCCTTTTCATTAGAACCTCCGAAAGTGTCCACGCAAACATCACTTGCCTCATATCAAACCCTGAAGAAAATGAAAACTTTTGCTAAGTTTGATCAGAAGAATAGATCAGCGTTATATTTGTATCTAAAGAGATTAGTTCCATCCTTACAGAAGAATCTAATCCAATGGTTTAGACTGCAGGTTCCGTCACGCAGTATATGCTTTGTCCAAGGACGACCAACGGTGCATCCTCGTGTATTGATTCCCTGTGAGAACCTTGCTCTAGTTTTTCCTAGCACACATGCAAGAAAGGTTCTCTTTGCACTGCGCCACAGATCTCATCCAAAACCGCTGCTGCTTTTCCAAGCTGGAATCATAGATCTCCAAGCTGGAATCATAGATCTCCAAGCTGGAATCATAGATCTACAAGCTGGAACCAGAGATCTACAAGCTAAACATGTTAAAGGACAGTATGGCTACAGACGAGCTTCCAACAATGTGAAAAGACTATTGTTTAAGTCTACTCTTGTAGACAGAATCCAGGAAAATGGCGAAGCCAGGCAAGGTTTAGCAATTACCCCACAGACAAGACGAGATGTGTTCCAACGTATAAAGTACTTCAGTGGTCGGTTGGCTAAAACACACCTTAGCTGGCGACTGCTTCTGGGTTCCCATTTGCTCGAACCCAGTCTTAGAAATAACAGATTAAAGTTAAAAAGTCAGACCCATCAACTGTTTATCTCTCCCCTACACTTGGTAGATACAGGGCTGAATCACAACTTAATCTTTCAGAGTAATATCAGAAATAAACGCAGCGGTGAAACTGTAGACGAGATCTCCATGAAAGAAGAATTGGATAAATTATTCAAAAGGTTTTCCGTGTCATATTCAGAGGAATCAATGAATGCCAGATTAGAGCAAGCAGAAGAGGCAGAAATGGCATCCACAGATGTGGGTAAATTTATTATGGAGAGAAACAAAGATGCAGAAAGTACACAAGATGTGCTCTCGTCACAAGCCAGACTTCGTCGACAAGTCCATACATCACATGAGCCGACTGTTCAAAAGGCCAGGCTGGACAACCCGAGACATTGGCTTTTAGCTGCCATTTTACGTCTTTCAACAAAAGCTGTTGATGACCCGAGATCTAAACAACAAACAAATGTGTTCAAACATGACGGAAGAAGTCTTTCAGTACTACAAATGCTGGGAAATAAATCGCACATATCAAATAGTCACAACTTGGAAAGAAGTAACTATAGCAACAGCCTTCAAAAATTAGATAACACTAGGCAATCAACTAAACGAGCAAAATATACCAGCATTAAACCTCGACATAGACGGCCGCTCTCTATGAGAAGACTGATGACTAAACTGGAGACGGGTGTGGACGGGAGAGCCAGGAGACGGCCTAGAGGCAGTCATCCGTGGACACCTGCAGAGAACCTTTCTCCTGGATCTTTCCAGACAACTTCAGGCGAAATTAATGTCTATCAGACGGATACACCCACCTCTGACATGGTGGTTACCCTCAACTCTGACATGGTGGTTACACCCACCTCTGACATGGTGGTTACCCCCAACTCTGACATGGTGGTTACACCCACCTCTGACATGGTGGTTACCCTCAACTCTGACATGGTGGTTACACCCACCTCTGACATGGTGGTTACACCCAGCTCTGACATGGTGGTTACACCCACCTCTGACATGGTGGTTACCCCCAACTCTGACATGGTGGTTACACCCACCTCTGACATGGTGGTTACACCCACCTCTGACATGGTGGTTACACCCACCTCTGACATGGTGGTTACACCCACCTCTGACATGGTGGTTACACCCACCTCTGACATGGTGGTTACACCCACCTCTGACATGGTGGTTATACCCACCTCTGACATGGTGGTTACCCCTAACTCTGACATGGTGGTTACACCCACCTCTGACATGGTGGTTACCCCTAACTCTGACATGGTGGTTACACCCACCTCTGACATGGTGGTTACCCCTAACTCTGACATGACGGAAACGCCCACCCCTAACACGGTGGTTACGATAACCACTCACATAACGGACAGGCCTAGCTCTGGCATAAGGCTAAGGCCTAGCTCTAGCATAAGGGACACGCCCACTTCTAGCATGACAAGTTCCTCTACCACTGAAATCACAGATATGCCCATCTCTGAGGTTTCTGTGACGCCCATCTCTTTCATGCCACAATTTGCTTTACCATTCACTGTCAACTTAAAACACAGTGATGGCGACAAGAAACATGAGCGCAGCCTGGAAGCCAACACAGTTCCGGTTACTGACCTCGGCCTAGACATTCGTAACTTTGACGATGCAGCCAATGAAACAAGTTCCCCAAGCCTTCATAACGTTACCAACCAGAGTGAAGTGGAAGAAATAAACGCCACAGAACACAATCAACTTCCAAGTTCGTTAATGCTGAACTCAAGCTATGGCGACCTCACAGACACAAACAATACAACCAACACAATAAGTCTATCAAATCTGCACAACATTAGTGGCCAGGGGGGAGTTAAAAACACAGAACAAACCGGAATGCCAGGTTCAGTCATGCTGAACTCAAGTGACGACAATGTAACCACTGTTGAAGAAATCGGTAATATTACGAAGGACAACAATGCCATTAAACTGATCATTGCGCAATCTTCTAATAACACAAATCAGGAGTTTAACAAAGCCTTAAAAACATTCATGACTAACTCAAGTTATCGAAGCAAGACTGTTGCTAGTAATCAAACTGTGATCGGCAGCAGAAAACCTGATCAGGGGCAGAAAACCATTACAGATTATTTTGAAAACAATGCTAATGTGGAAGAGGTCGCTGGGGACCTGGATGTGACAGTCAAATCCACGGACCTACAAGATGTCGATGACAAAGTGCTGACTGAACAACCAGAAACTTCAGAGGGTATCCAAGTAGAAGTCAAGGGGCATACAGTAGAGCCAGCGGAACCATTTGCGTTCATAGAGAAAGATGAGACCAAAGCACCAACAGGTAAAGTCATCAGTGGTTACAAGACTAGGCCAACTAAGCAAGAGAATCTTGTCATGCCTTGGGGTTGGTTTGTGGGGGGGGGGGGGGAAGGGGGGTTAAATAAATGTGGCTCAGCCCATATTTGATATAGACCAACCTTGGCACGATGTTGATCACATAACACACCGAGTGAAAGTTGGTCTATAAAATATGGGGTTTACCCAACACGCCCGCAGACGTGGACAAGGGTCATTTTCTGTTACTTTTACTTACACGGTAACCTACTGGTTGTACTGTACATATCGTGCAGGTCGCATTTACTTCCCACGACACCCTGTTATCCGGCTTGTGTTCTCGGCACTCTGCTTTATGGCAGGGAGAATTGGACCACTTGTTGGCACCAGGAAAAGAACCAAATAGCTGACACATGCGATGCCTAAGAAGAACACTTGGCATTAAGTGGCAGGACGAGGTCACAAACACTGAAGTATTGGAAAGAGCTGCTATTACAACAATCTTCTCGGCGCTTAGTTTACGACGGCTCAGGAGGCTGGGTCACACCTGGACAATTGAGGATGGAGGATGGTAGAGTAGCGAAGGACTTTGATGAGAGCCTAGGGAATGAGAAGAAACGGACTAATCCCAAATATTGGCAGCAACGGCCCTGTAATCCCATGCTATAATTGTGGAAGACTTTTTAATGCGAACGGGTCTTGCTAGCCACACTCGATATCGCCATGGGCTGTGAGACCTATGACTACTCAAAACGCAGTATGAGACTATCGTCTGAAAAGACGGAAAGGTGCCAATAAGAAGTAGGCAGATCAGTGGTTTGTCTGCAGAAACATTTGGCCTGGTGAAGAACTACTTCTTGGTGTCTTTGCGTTCGCTCAGTGCTTGTGTCATCCCCATCTTCTCCATCACAGCTATAGGTATTGATTTCACACTGTCTGATGTGACTCTTGAGTGCTTGATTTTTCACTTAGTCCAACTATTGTAGTGTGGGTTTTTTATGCCGAACTCCATGCAGTTTATCTGTATTCAAGATGTGGTCGAACACTTTGTTGACAAACCTTCCTAAATATGTTTCCACTAGTACCCCACGTGGTTATACTTAGTTTTCTCAAGATAGTTACACACCTTACGGCTTTTGTTTCTGAGTTATGAGTTGTGATCTGGGTTACCTTCACGGCACTTCGGACACATCCATAGGTGCTCAGATTCCCCCTTCAACATATACATCAGCGTCCCGCGGTTGATAGTCCTAGTCCTATGTTCACTAACAAGACTTCTCGAGCGTCCGGTGTGCTTTCCGTGCCTGGCGGTGCCTATCATTATTTCCTGTTCTTGCACTCTTAGCAAAGATGTGAAAGTGCTGCTACCAAGATCCTCCGAACGTCCTTCCTCTCTAATGGCATTAACAGTGTCAGCATGATCCATGGGCAGGCCTTCTGTAACTAAGGCCGAGTCGACTAATCTGTCGGGTCTTTTATTGCCAACAACACTAGCATACCTTGGTACAAAGATGAAGGTAACATCCATGCACATTGGAGTTTTGCAACGACTCGATCCATCTATTGTCTACGTGCAAAGCCCGCCTCGACCCTCTGGATCACGCCCAAGGAATCACTCAGCTCACACACATGAGAATTGCCCTGTGATGCTAGTCACGTGAAAGGTCGTGTTACCGCCATAACCTCCATTGTCATGCAGCTAGTAGTCATACACTGACCTCTTGGACTGTTCTGCCTGCAGAGCACGCAGTAAATGCCCATGCACTTTTCTGTCTTCATACAACAGACTCATCTATGTAGATTAGTACTTCCGCCTCCTCTGAATTGTCACATATAAGGGCGTTGACCTCTGCATTGACAGCAACTGGATTCTGCTCCCAACAGATCCTTGGCAACACAGGAAAAGGTGCAGTTGAGCACCTGGGGCACTGGTATTCATTGTTCTGAGGCTAATGTCTGAAGCAGACCTGTATGATATCGTCCTCTGCCCTATCAAGCCATGATTTGTCCCTGTTTAGCTTGTTGCCCTTTTTCCTAGAGAAAACATTGTGCAGAGGATGCCTCAAATCCGAGATTATTTTCAGGCATGTGCGAGTCCTCCATATCTTTATCATGTAATGCATCATCGAAAATTCAAGAATATACTCATTGCTGAGCAATGGGTATCTCTTGTGCACCCCAAAATAATGTCATGGCTTCATTGTGCACCTTTTCCAGTCTTTCACAGCGCTCGGGGCATTCCCATCAGCCGGCATTATGTGTGGTTTTCGTTGGCACAGCAACGGGGTAATGATAGGACCTCCCGTCTGCCGTGTACAGTGGTTGGAACTGCAAGCGCCTAATTAGGTTTGCTAGGATTTTTTTAAAGGTTATAGGTCGGGCTCATTCGACAAACAATCACAAAACTGACACATAAATGGAAACAATCACAAAACTGAAACAGAAATGGAAACAATCACAAAATTGACACATAAATGGAAACAATCACAAATCTGACACAGAAATGGAAACAATCACAAATCTGACACAGAAATGGAAACAAGCGAACTGAGGAAGCGTACAATTGCTGTAAACTCTATTGGAAAGTTTCAGTTATTCGCCCATTTCTAGACTTTGATTTGTTCCAGAACCTGTTAAGACAGTTTATGAGTTATTTAGTAATCCACGTGTGATACCGTTTTCCCTATTGGCTCTAACCTTCCCCTTTCCCCCTGTTTTCCTCTATTAGAGTATCAGTACACATGGGGTGAGTGGAGTGAATGCAGTCTCACCTGCGGCGTCGGCCAGAAGTTCAGAACCAATCGCTGTGGTGGCGATCTGCCGTGCACGGGTATCAAGGCCAGCTCCGAAACTGAAGTCTGCTCCATAAAGGATGAATGTTGAGATGACTCTCAGTGTATTGTTGGATGCTACCACAAACATGTACACATGCACAAGTGTTGAGATGACTCTCAGTGTATTGTTGGATGCTACCACAAACATGTACACATGCACAAGTGTTGTGATGACTCTCAGTGTATTGTTGGATGTTACCACAAACATGTACACATGCACAAGTGTTGTGATGACTCTCAATGTATTGTTGGATGCTACCACAAACATGTACACATGCACAAGTGTTGTGATGACTCTCAATGTATTGTTGGATGCTACCACAAACATGTACACATGCACAAGTGTTGTGATGACTCTCAGTGTATTGTTGGATGTTACCACAAACATGTACACATGCACAAGTGTTGTGATGACTCTCAATGTATTGTTGGATGCTACCACAAACATGTACACATGTACAAGTGTTGAGATGACTCTCAGTGTATTGTTGGATGCTACCACAAACATGTACACATGCACAAGTGTTGAGATGACTCTCAGTGTATTGTTGGATGCTACCACAAACATGTACACATACACACTACACACACAATAACCTGGCAATGTGACAATTAATTGTTTTGGACAAAACATATACAAATGAAAGTATTTTCTTGGATCTAAAATATTGACAACAAATTTTACAAAGAGCACAAACTGTGTGGTTCCCCTAAACATGGCAACAGTGCAGATTGAGAGTTAGGTAAACTAACATGGTGGTTGACTACAGAGAGAGATCGTGCCAGTGCATCAAGATATTTCATTCATCGTGAAAGTATTCAATAATGATACAGTCTACTTCTCGTCTAAATTTATATTTTTAATGAAATATGTTTGGGATACTTAATAATTGACATGAACATAAATAAACTGGTGCTCACTGATGACAACAAATACAGACAATAATCGAAAGGAAAAAGCTCATTCAAATCGGTGCACATTGATGATTGGCTGTAACTATTGTCCAGCGTTCTTTCCCCTGATTGTACACACTCGGCCTTGTCCCTCCATCTCGTGAGTTTATCGTCCCACTTGTATCACTGTTGTTTGCTTGCCTATGTTTAAATACCCGCTCCGTTTTTAAGTTTTGTCTTTACTGTTGTCAAAATATGTCGCTTGCTTCCCCCTCACACACTCCCACGCACACCACTCCCCCACTCTCACTCACACCCCCCCACACACACACCCCACACACACCCCCCAACACACACACAACCACACACACACCCTAACACACACCCCCCCCACACACACACACCCACACACCCCACACACCCCCACACACACACACCTCTGTTTCAACTGATTAAATTTCTTTCTGTGGTTTACTTTTCATTCCATATCTCTCCAAAACATGTGTACATGTTTTATCTCTATGAAGCAAAATATGTGTACATGTTTTATCTCTATGAAGCAAAACATGTGTACATGTTTTATCTCTATGAAGCAAAATATGTGTACATGTTTTATCTCTATGAAGCAAAATATGTGCACATGTTTTATCTCTATGAAGCAAAATATATCTCTCCAAAACATGTGTACATGTTTTATCTCTATGATGCAAAACAGTTTTCTGCATATCGACAGCTATAAGACCTCAAATGAACTTTCTAACTACGTGTTGACTGTCGAGGTTGTAGCGCCGCCAGATGACAGGGTTGAGTCTGTGTAACTTTGAGACCAAGAATGTTTTCTATGAGATCAGTCGAATCTATTGATGTATTTCTTGTACTGTTTCCAATATCATTCGGAGCTGTACAATGTATGAGATGTTTTCTTTGTTGTCTGACATCACACACAACACCATGATCACATCGTGCACAACATCACACACAACACCATGATCACATCGTGCACACAACATCACACACAACACCATGATCACATCGTGCACAACATCACACACAACACCATGATCACATCATGCACACAACATCACACACAAGACCATGATCACATCATGCACAACATCACACACAACACCATGATAACATCGTGCACAACATCACACACAACACCATGATCACATCGTGCACAACATCACACACAACACCATGATCACATCGTGCACAACATCACACATAACACCATGATCACATCGTGCACAACATCACACACAACACCATGATAACATCGTGCACAACATCACACACAACACCATGATAACATCGTGCACAACATCACACACAAGACCATGATCACATCGTGCACAACATAACACACAACACCATGATTACATCGTGCACACAACATCACACACAACACCATGATCACATCGTGCACACAACATCACACACAACACCATGATCACATCGTGCACACAACATCACACACAACACCATGATAACATCGTGCACAACATCACACACAACACCATGATAACATCGTGCACAACATCACACACAACACCATGATAACATCGTGCACAACATCACACACAAGACCATGATCACATCGTGCACAACATAACACACAACACCATGATTACATCGTGCACACAACATCACACACAACACCATGATAACATCGTGCACACAACATCACACACAACACCATGATTACATCGTGCACACAACATCACACACAACACCATGATAACATCGTGCACAACATCACACACAAGACCATGATCACATCGTGCACAACATAACACACAACACCATGATTACATCGTGCACACAACATCACACACAACAACACCATGATTACATCGTGCACACAACATCACACACAACACCATGATTACATCGTGCACACAACATCACACACAACACCATGATAACATCGTGCACAACATCACACACAAGACCATGATCACATCGTGCACAACATAACACACAACACCATGATTACATCGTGCACACAACATCACACACAACACCATGATTACATCGTGCACACAACATCACACACAACACCATGACCACATCGTGCACAACATCACACACAACACCATGATCACATCGTGCACAACATCACACACAACACCATGATCACATCGTGCACAACATCACACACAACACCATGATCACATCGTGCACAACATCACACACAACACCATGATCACATCGTGCACACATCATCACACACAACACCATGATCACATCGTGCACAAAATAACTCACAACACCATGATAACATCGTGCACAAAATAACTCACAACACCATGATAACATCGTGCACAACATCACACACAACACCATGATAACATCGTGCACAACATCACACACAACACCATGATAACATCGTGCACAACATCACACACAACACCATGATAACATCGTGCACAACATCACACACAACACCATGATAACATCGTGCACAACATCACACACAACACCATGATAACATCGTGCACAACATCACACACAAGACCATGATCACATCGTGCACAACATAACACACAACACCATGATTACATCGTGCACACAACATCACACACAACACCATGATAACATCGTGCACACAACATCACACACAACACCATGATTACATCGTGCACACAACATCACACACAACACCATGATAACATCGTGCACAACATCACACACAAGACCATGATCACATCGTGCACAACATAACACACAACACCATGATTACATCGTGCACACAACATCACACACAACACCATGATTACATCGTGCACACAACATCACACACAATACCATGATTACATCGTGCACAACATCACACACAACACCATGATAACATCGTGCACAACATCACACACAACACCATGACCACATCGTGCACAACATCACACACAACACCATGATCACATCGTGCACAACATCACACACAACACCATGATTACATCGTGCACACAACATCACACACAACACCATGATAACATCGTGCACACAACATCACACACAACACCATGATTACATCGTGCACACAACATCACACACAACACCATGATAACATCGTGCACAACATCACACACAAGACCATGATCACATCGTGCACAACATAACACACAACACCATGATTACATCGTGCACACAACATCACACACAACACCATGATTACATCGTGCACACAACATCACACACAACACCATGATTACATCGTGCACACAACATCACACACAACACCATGATAACATCGTGCACAACATCACACACAAGACCATGATCACATCGTGCACAACATAACACACAACACCATGATTACATCGTGCACACAACATCACACACAACACCATGATTACATCGTGCACACAACATCACACACAACACCATGACCACATCGTGCACAACATCACACACAACACCATGATCACATCGTGCACAACATCACACACAACACCATGATCACATCGTGCACAACATCACACACAACACCATGATCACATCGTGCACAACATCACACACAACACCATGATCACATCGTGCACACATCATCACACACAACACCATGATCACATCGTGCACAAAATAACTCACAACACCATGATAACATCGTGCACAAAATAACTCACAACACCATGATAACATCGTGCACAACATCACACACAACACCATGATAACATCGTGCACAACATCACACACAACACCATGATAACATCGTGCACAACATCACACACAACACCATGATAACATCGTGCACAACATAACACACAACACCATGATCACATCGTGCACAACATCACTCACAACACCATGATCACATCATGCACAACATCACACACAACACCATGATCACATCGTGCACACAACATCACACACAACACCATGATCACATCGTGCACACAAAACAGTCAGTCATGAAACGCAATACTCGTACTAACAAATAAAGGATCGTTTTCTACGCTGTCAGGCTAACTGGGCATCTAGGGCTAGACTGATATTGTATGGACCTATCGGCGCTTGCTGGGTCAGCATCACGCCGGTAGCCTTCACTTTGCACGACTTTTCCTTTGTACCCATTTAAGGTTAGGTCGAAATGAGAGCCAAGTTAGGTCCAGCACCGTCAGGATTTGAACCCACGACTTTTGGATCCGCAGG